TAATCCATTTTGATTTTAGTTTAGTGCATGGTGAGAGATATAGGTCTAGTTTTAATCTTTGGCAAGTTGAAACCCAATATTTCCAGCACCATTTTTAAAAAGGCTATCTTTCCTCCAGTGAGGGTGTTTGGCTCCTTTGTCAAAGATGAAGTGGCTGAGGGTGTCTGGGGTTGTTTGTGCATCTTCTAATCTGTTCTACTGGTCCTGTGATCTGTTTCCTTGCCAGTACCATGCTGTTTTTATCACAGTAGCTTTGTAATACAGTTTCAAGATGGGGGTTGTGCTGCCCCCTGCCACATCTCTGTTGCCTAGAATTGCTTTTGCTATTCTAGGTCTCTTCTGGTTCCAAATGAATTTTTCAATTGTTTTCTCAAGGTCTGTGAAGTATGCACTGGAATTTCATTCGGGCTTGCATTGAATCTATATAGCAGTTTTGAAAGTATGGCCATTTCCACTATGTTGATTCTTCCTACCCAAGAGCAAGGGATGTCTTTCCATTCTCTGATATTGTCTTCAATCTCTCTTTTCACAGTGCTACAGTTTTCAGAAAAGAGGTTTTTTATTTCCTTTGTTAGGTTGATTCCTAGGTATTTCAGCTTTTTGGATGCTATTGTGAAAGGAATTGTTTACCCTATTTCTCTTTCAGTGAGTCTGTGGTTCATGTAGAGGAAAGCTACTGATTTTTGTGTGTTGACCTTGTATCCAGCTACTTTACTGAATTTGGTTATTAAGTCTAGAAGACTTTTGGTGGGTTCTTGGGGTCTTCTATATAGAGTATCATGTCATCTGAAAATAACAACAGTTTGACTTCTTCATTTCCTATCTGTATTCCTTTTATTTCTTTCTCTTGTCTAATTGTAGTGGCTAATGTTTCTAAAACTATATTGAACAGGAGTGGTGATAGTGGATATCCTTGTCTTGTTCCTGATTTTAGTGTGAAGGATTTCAGTTTTTGAGCACTTAGTATGATATTGGCTGTTGGTTTTTCATAGGTAGCTTTTATCAGATTGAGGTAGAGACCATCTATTGCAATTTTTTTGTGGGGTTTTATCATAAATGCATGTTGGATTTTGTCAAATACTTTTTATGCATCTATTGAGATCATATGGTTTTTGTCCTTGGCTCTATTGATATAGTGTATTACATTGATTGATTTGAATATGTTGAACCATCCCTGCATCCCTGGCATGAATCCCACTTGGTCAGGGTGTATGATCTTTTGCATTCTATTTGTCTGTATCTTATTAAGGATTTTGCATCTGTGTTCATTAGTGAGACTGGCCTATAGTTCTCTTTTTTGGTTGGATCTTTCTCTGCCTTGGGGATCAAGGTGATATTTCTTCCAGGAATGAATTCAGGAGTATTGCTTCCCTTTCAGTTTCACTGAAGAGTTTAAACAGTAGTGGCAGTAGTTTCTCCCTAAATATCTTGTAGAATACAGCAGTGAAGTCATCAGAACCCAGGCTTTTCTTGGTTGGTAAGTTTTTAATTATGTTTTCAATTTCATTGATCGATATTAGGTTGTTTAGAATTTTTAGGTTTTCTTCATTCAACTTTGGTAATTCATAGGTATCTAGGATTTGCCCATTTCTTCTATGTTTTCCATCTTACTGGCATATAGGTTCTTGAAGTAGGTATTGATGATCCTCTGGATTTCATTGGTCCGTTGTAATTTCATCCTTTTCATTCCTAATTGCATGGTTTTGAGCCTTTTCTTTCCTCTTTTTGATAAGGTTGGCTAACGGTTTGTCAATTTTGTTTATTCTTTTGAAGAAACAACTCTTTGCTTCATTGACTTTTTTGTATCATTCTCTTAGTCTTCATTGCATTGATTTCTGCTCTGATCTTCATAATTTCCTCCCTTGTGTGAGCTTTGGGTTTGTCCTGCTCTTCTTTTTCTAGAAGTTTGAGGTTCAGCATCAGGCTGTTTAGTTGGGCTCTCTCTGTTTTCCTAATACAAGTATTCACTGCTGTGAATATCCCTCATAAGACTGCTTTCCTTGTGTCCCACAGATTCTGATATGTTGTATTGTCATTGTCATTTAAGTGAAGGAACTGTCTGATTTCTTCTTTAATTTTCTCTGTGACCCATTGGTTATTCAGAAGTGTGTTGTTCACTTTCCATGTGTTTATGAAATTCTTGCAGTTTCATAAGCTATTGATCTGCAATTTCATCGCACTACTGTCTGATAATATACAGGGGATAACTTCAGTTCCTTTGCACTTACTTAAACATGTTCTATGAGCGAGTATGTGGTCTATTTTGGAGAATTACCTGTGTGTAGCTGAGTGTATTCTGACTTTGTGGGGCAGAACACTCTGTAAACATCTGTTAAGTCTATTTGTTCAAGAATTTGATTGAGTTGTAGTATTTCATTGTTTATTTTTTGTCTAGTTGATCTGTCTATTTGTGATAGTGGGATATTGAAGTGCCCCAGTTCTATTGTATTAGTGCTTATTTGATTTTTCATGTCTGTTAGTATTTGTTTTATATAGTTGGGGACACTGGTATTTGGTGCATGTATTTATGATTTTCATCTCTTCCTCTTGGATTGTTCCCTTTACAAGGATGTAGTGTCCTTCTTTGTCTGTCTTAATCAATGTTGGTTTGAAATCCACTTGATCTGCAAAGAGGATAGCTACTCCTGCTTTTTTTTTGGTTCTGTCACATGGAATATTGTTTTCCACCCTGTAACTTTCAGTCTATGAGTTTCTTTTTGAATTAAGTGTGTTTCTTGTATGCAACATATTGTTGGATCTTGCTTCTTGACCCATTCTGCCAGTCTATTTTTTTTAACTGGTGAATTGAGACCATTAACATTGATGATTTTAACTGATACATATTGACTTATCATTGTCATGACTTTTTCTTTTTTTTGGATTCTCCCCCTTTGTATTTAATTTCTTGACATGCCTGATGGATTCATTCTGCTGGGGTTCCTGGGGTTGTGAGCCACAGTTTTGTCTAAAATTTTTGGAGTGCTGGTTTGGTATTCATGAAGTTCCTAAGGTGCTCTTTGTCATGAAAGTATCATATTTCACCATCAATTTTGAAAGATAGTTTTGCAGGGTACATCAGTCTGGGTTGGAGGTTGTTTTCCTTTAGGGCTTGAAATACATCACTCCAAGCTCTTCTTGCCTTGAGTGTTTGCGTTGAGAAGTCTGTTGTGATTCTGTTGGGGTTTCCTTTGTTTGTGATTTGTTCCTTTTCTCTAACTGCTTGTAGACTTTTGTTGTTCTGTTAGGTTTCTGGAATCTTAACTAGTATATGCCTATGTGTAGATTTTTTTGATGAAGGCTAGTTGGAGTCCTATATGCCTCACTTATCTGTATGTCAAGTTCTCTTCCCCTGCTTGGGAAGTTTTCTGCCATCACTTCTGTGAACAGTTTTTTATATCATCTGCACTCTCTCTTGTTTCTTCATTGACTCCAAACAGTTTTATGTTATTCTTCTTTGCATAATCTGTCAGCTGCTGGATTACTTTCTCATTGTCTCTTACAATTTTACAGCAATTTTTCTTTTCCTGGTCACTAATTGCAATCTTATCTTCTATATCTGAAATTCTGTCCTTGCATTGGCTCATTCTG